GGAAACTATTAAGTAAAATAATCTATTAACTTATACCCAGCAGAGCAAGATTTGGAGGAGAACTGTTTCCCAACAATCAGTTAAACCAAACTTTTCAAGATTAGCCAATAATAAACGAGTTCTAGCTAAACCAGTAAATATAGTATTCAAAACAATGCTTTCCTCTTTTCTTCTACATCAAATCAGCCTATTACTGAAATCCACTTATAGAAAAAGCTTACAAAGAATAAAATTTGTGTCCTGCAGCTTTCTGACTTCAATGGAGGCAAGACATCTTTCATAACTGGAGCCAGAAGCATAGTAAAAGCTGAATTGCTCCTACACATTCTTTCTGAGGTGATCCCTTTTTGTTATGACAAAACCAATTACATAAAGGATCACTGTCCTGGCAAATGTCAGTGTATCTCAGCTCTTTATGTGTGATAATTTTATTTCATTTTAATAAGCTGTATTTGCGTAAGTGGAAAATATTTCCCCCCAGAATTTCTGTATGGAATTCTTTTAGTTTGTCCTGGAAGTCTCAGTCTGTACCATCTCAGAAAATGTCACTTTGGATAATGAAGGAGCCAGCAACGGGAACGTTCTGTGGGACCTCATAGTTACAAACAGGGAAGGTGAAGGTTGTGGGCAGTCTTGGCTGCAGTGACTATGAAATGGCAGAGTTGAGGATCCTGAAAAAGAGAACAAGGCAAATGGCAGGATCACAACCACTGACTTCAGGAGAGCGCACTTTGGCATCTTCAGGGATCAGCTTGGAAGAATTCCATGGGAGACAGCCCTGGCGAGAAGAGGCTTCCAGGAGCTGGTTGATTTTCAAGAATCCCCTTTTCCAAGCTCAAAAACAGTCCATCTCCACATGCAGGAAATCAAGCAAAGGCAGGAGGAGCTCCTGACAAAACTCAGACATAAAAAGGAAGCACACATGAGGTGGAAGCAGAGATAAGTGAACTGGGAGGAATACAGAGACACAGTCTGAGCATGTAACGATGGGTTAAGAAAGCCGAAGTCCACCTGGAGTTAAATCTGGCAAGAGATGTGAAGGGCAACGTGAAGGGCTTCTACAGGTCTATCAGCAACAGAAGACCAGGGAAAATGTGGGCCCAGTGCTGAATGGAGCAGGAGACTTAGTGGCAAAGAACATGAAAGAGGCAAAGGTACTCAATGGCTTTTCCACCTCAGTCTTCACTGGAAAGACTGGCCTTCTGGGATCCCAGGCTCCTTAGACCCATGGGAAAGGGAGACTCATGGAAGGGGGAAGACTTACCTGCAGTGGAGGAGGATCAGGTTAGGGAACATTGGAATAAACTGGACATACACAAGTCCATGGGCCACAATGGAGGAGCTGTATGTGCTGAAGAAGCTGGCTGATGTCCTTGTAAGGCTACTCTTGATAATCTTTGAAAAGTCATAGTGATTGGGGGAGGGTTCTGAGGACTGGAAGAAAGCAAATGTCACTCCAAACTTAAAAAAGGCAAAAAAAGCGAGGATCCAAGGAACTATAGGCTGGTCAGCCCAGTCTCACCTGAGAGGTTGACAGAGCAAATAATTCCGGAAAACATTTCCAAACACTAAGGACAAGAATGTGATTGGAAGTAGTCAGCATGGATTAACAAACAGGAAATCATGCCTGTCCAACCTGACAGCCTTCTACAAAGAGATGACTGGCTTGGTGTATAAAGGGAGAGCAGTGGATATTGTTGAATTTGATCTTAGTAAGGCTTTCAACACTGTCTCCCGTAACATTCTCACTGATTAAGTACAAGCTAGATAAATGGACAGTGAAACTGAAAACTGGCTGAACTTCCAGGCTCAAAGCGTTGTGATCAGTGCCAGGAAGTCCAGCTGGAGGCCCATCAAAGTCCAGCTGGAAGCCTATTTCTAGCGATGTACGCTAAGGGTTCATACTGTGTCCAATACTATTGAACATCTTGATTAATTATCTGAACAGTGGGACAGAGTGCTCCCTTGGCAAGTTTGCAAACAATGCAAACTTGGGAGGAGTAGCTGATACACCAGAGGATCACGCTGCCACTTAGAGGGACCTCCACAGGCTGGAGAAACAGGCTGACAGGAACCTCATGAAGTTCAACAAAAGCGAAGGCAAAGTCCTGCACCCGGAGAGGAATAAACCCATGCACCAGTACAGGCTTGTGGGCCAGCTGGCTGGAAAGCAGTTGTAGAAAAGGCTCTAGGAGGGTACCAAATTGACTAGAGTGAGCAATGCGTTGTTGCAGCAAAGAAGACCAACAGCCTCCTGGGTGGCATTAACAAGAGTATCTGTCACCAACAGGTCAAGGAACGTATTTATTCCCCTCTTTTTAGCTCTGGTGATGCCACACACTCCACCTGGAGTGCTGTGTTCCACCCCTGGGCTCCCCAGTACAAGAAAGAAATGTGACATACTGCAGCAAGTCCAGCAAATTGCTACAAAGATGAGTAAGCGATTATAGCATCTGTCATATGAGGAGAGGCTGAGAGAGCTGAGATTGTTTAGCTCAGAGGAGAGATGGCTTTTTCCTGCTGTCATCTCTGGGCAGTTGGGGGAAGTGCATGAAGCCCTATTTTCTACAAGTCTCGTCAAGCAGATGCCATGCAAATGAGGTATTGCTCTTGGAGCAATTTCAATGAACAGAGCATACCTTCTTTCCTGGTGATCGGATCTATGACCTAAGCCTAGCTTATGAAACCGCTTCTTGGCAGGGATTCTTTAGTTATCACATCAGCAGTTGTGGAATGGTAAAATATCTGTATGGATGTTTAGACTTCAGTCCAACTGCTGTTTCTTTAACAAGAACTTGTTTGCCTCCTGTGATTGATAAGACTTTTATAAGATGAAAGTGAAATGGATCATCAAAGGCTAGGTGAGGGAATCCAAAACAGAACTGTGAGAACTCCTGTCTACTGCTGCTTGTTCATCATCCCAAGAGAACCAGAGCGCTTGATCATGAAAGAGGATCCAACTTTTTTTTTTTTTTTAATTAATATGAAAGCAATAAGCAGTCATCATACACACCTCTTGAGCCTAGGGTCTCAGGTATCTGCAGTTTCACTTTTCCTTTACAGCTCTTGGCCTTTCTGACTGATAAGTTTAGCCTTCAAACCATTGGTTTTCATTTCTTCCAAAATACTGATGAAAATTTGTCCATTGAAGAAAGAGTGAAAATCTTTACCGAAAAGGGAGTGGGGGGGGAGGTAAACCAAAAAAAGTACAGAACCACATTTGACCAGAGCTCAGCTATTTGTGAAAGGCCATGGAGAACTCTTTATAGATATGTGCATAACACTGAGGATACTCAAGTGTAGCACAAAAGCAATTTGTATTAATAGGGTGAGGGAATGAGGATGACAGGACCAAAATTCTAGCTGAAAGTTTTGCTGGTCTGTTTTTTTTTTCCTGGTAGAGAATGTAGAATGTACTTTAAGTTCCTTGACTTACGGTCAGAAACTGGGCTCTAGGGGCTCAGGGGCAGTGCGACTGAGGAGACAGAGGTGTTGTCATGGCTGGTGGGAGGAAGCTGTTGCAGTTCTAGCTCTGCTGTATGTTGCACCTCACCACCTATGCTACATTTTACTTCCCTTCCTTACCTGTCTTTCATATACCTGCAGATGAGTTCTGAAGGGATGTCTGATACTGCACGGTTGTACTTTCTGCTCCTTCTACTTGCACTTCCTACTCCAGGACTGTAAGCTTCTGTATTGAAAAAAAAATTCCTCCTCTGCTGCCAAATCCTCTTCCAAGAATCCTTCCTATTGGTGCTTGTTTGCCAGTCTTTCAGCTATGTCTTTGAGTAGCTGTTTTCATTCACATGTGCTGGCACCTCTAAGCCAAGAAAATTGAATTGCCTGTTGTTCCCTCCTCAGCTAGGTTGGGGACCCGGCACAAGGAATGGCTAGCAGCTCTGTGCTTCTCCACTGACACGATGACCAAGAGCTGGCAGCATGCCCAGGAAGAAAAACATTAAAAAAGAATAAAAGGGAAAATATCCCTACTGCCTGCTGGCATCCAAAGTGATGGATGAGGAAGAACAAAAGTGGAGTCTATTAAATAGACTTGCTAATCTGGGAAGCTAAGTGTCTGGGTTCTGGCATTTTTTGAAAAGCCCTGCAGTGCAAAACTCCTCCTCTGTGAAACTTGACTCCTAGAGATCTCCTCCTTCAGTATTTTTCCGTTTGTCCTTGATTTCCTCCTAGTCCTCAGAAGAGGCAAGCTACTCTCGAATGAAGAATCCCAGAATCATCTCTAGACAGTGTTATGTCCGTGACCAGAGACAGGATCTAGTCCATCTGTTGACATAGGTTCTTTCACTGTTTTGGTCCCCCAAAGGTCTAGATTTCACCATTCTGGCAGAAGCTATGCTGCTATGCTATCAGTCACACTGCTCTGCCCTTCCCTCCCCATGATAGTTCCTTTCACACATGCTTTTCTCCCACAATCAAAGCAAATCTGGAGTTTTCAGTAGATACAGATGTGATCAAACTCAGTGAACGTGCAGGGAATCTCATTGTACTACTACTGCAACAATCTCTGCTGTGAACCTGGCTTGATGCTGGATTTAGGAAGGTTCAAGTCTCCATCAACCTCTCATTATACTTTTTTGGGTATGCAACAATTTGATGGATGAAGGTGTTCTGCCATTTTATTGAAACAAATTAAAGGAAAGTCATGCAACCAGAGGGATGATGAAAAAATGCAAATGGGTAGTAACTGCAACCTGTTGTCTGCACTGTTGGGGGAAGAGATCTATGATTCTGTGCCCGTACTGCTTATAAATTTTACACTAAGTAGTCACAGAAAAGACAAACAGAGGGAGCGAGATAATTCAAGGTGTAGGGACCAGAGATTTGCGGTCTCCACTCCTAGCTGAATTCAGTAAATGCAAACCAAAATCTTGTTTGCTTTTTTTAATCTGTCCTCAGATTTTACATTTCCAGCCACCCTGTGGCCCACTTCATGGTGACTCGTATATTTTCGTGCACATATTTTCTTATATACTTCTTAGATACTCTATGGCCTCATCATGACGTCTCTACGGAAAGTGACAGATCCAGGTTTGAACCATTTCAAAATCAGGAGGAAAGTGGATTCCAGTGAGTTACTGCACAGAGGAATGCTTTAGCTACTGGGCTACTATGTAAAAGTTGCTGACCGCACCATGACTACCACCACTACCATTACATTCTTGAATAAAAGTGCGACTGCTCTCTTTGGGTGTATGGACAACCTCAGCTTTCCTAATGAATTACACAATTACACTGCTGGGCAGACTTGGACTTGGAGTCACTTAATCTGTAGATCTCAAATGGCCTCAAACAACATATAGATGGCCATATACCAAGATGATATACAGCTTTTGAGTCTGTTTAAAAGAGGTCTGGACAGAAGATAGAGTGCCTATAATATTTCAGATACCTCACCGAGTTAAATAAGTGTACATGGATTGTTTTCTTGCATGTGTACAACAGTCCAGGTTCTAGTTTTGTGTTATCTTGTATCTTCCCTTAAGTGCTCTGTAAAATTAGTGAATTAAGACCTAGAACTTTATTTTGAGATAGGTGAGAAATATTACATATAGATTACTGTTGATTAAGAGAAGACATTGTGAGACTGCTCATGTTTACAGACATCAGTCACTGGCACAAGCAGGACTACTACCGAGCATACCCAGTGGACACCATTCCACTACCAGTTTTACATCTACTTTTTATGTATATACAATTTTATATAGAGAGAGTTTATTTCCTCTATGATTGCACATTGTGCTTTTCCTTCAAAGGGACTTTTATTCAAAGATTACAATGTATTCAAAATCATAAATGGTATTTCTTTCATGGTTAGAAATAAAATATTTATCATCTTTTACTTTATCTACATTTGTTTCTTTTTCTGCATTAGGTCTCAGAAGTTGTTGAAAGGTTTCTTTCAGTCTGAAATGACAGAGAGCCTCGTATAAAGGACACCCCTATTTCACACCTAAGGAATATTGCTTAATAGGTATTAATCTGAAGAAATATATTGTATGGTAAAGCTTTTGACAGACTACCAACCTTTTGAACACCCAGAGAGCATTTAATTTTTGTCTGATCAGAAGCACCTAATGTCACTGCACATGCTACAATGGAAACTCTAAGACAAATACAAAGTTTTGGTATCTGTGTTACCTGTACATATCCTATAGCATCCGGTATGGTGTTCGCCACTCTTCTAGTTTCTTGCTGCTCATCTCTGAACATAAGAGCTCGTCCACTTGTTTCTAATTCACCTTTCCTTTCTATCTGGAATGCTCCCACAGAACTTTGCACTGAAAGGACTGGAGTGCAGCTGGACATGACATTTTTTTCTCTCATTGGAAGCACACTGAAGACATCCATTGGGCAAAACATCACTCTCTTCTATCCAGACAGGCTTGGCTACTATCCTTACAAAAATGAAGTCACAGGAGAGTCATTCAATGGAGGACTCCCCCAACTCTCGCTGCTGGAGAATCATTTAAAAAAAGCCAAAGAGGACATCCAGTTTTATATTCCTTCAGATGAACAGTTTGGATTGGCGGTCATTGACTGGGAAAATTGGAGACCTGTGTGGATAAGGAACTGGGGATCAAAAGAC